CGAAGGGGAGCAGGTTTAACTGAACGCATTGCGTTTGTAAGCCTGCTGACGTATGAAGCGTGATCTACCACTGATGGGAAGCTCGAGGGAGAAACTAATTCACCAGGCAGTCACAGTGTCGTGCCATATACTAGCTCGGCGCTAGTACAACCAGCATCGGTTTTCAAGGCGTTTCGTATCCCTAGGAGAACCAACGGAAGGGATTCAGTCCAATGGGTGGTGTTTGTGGCTGACAGACCAGCTTTCAGCTGTCTGCGTAGACGTTCTACCATTCCATTAGCTTGAGGATGATAGGCTGTTGTTCGAAAACGCATGCAACCTATGATTTTAGTCAGGGCGAAGAATAAGCCACTTTCGAATTGCCGCCCGCGATCAGTTGTAATGGAAGATGGGCATCAAAAGTTAGCGATCCATCTTTCTACAAAGACGCGTGCCAACAAGAAAGCAAAAGCCAATATTTGATCGTCCAAACTACATAATATATTTCGGGATTAAAACAGACCGTCAGACGAGCGCTGAGCTGGCTAGTGTTCATGCACGTGACACGACGGGGTACCAAATGGCGGGGATGCTTGACCGGAAGCCTTCAGCTAAACAAGTCGACTTAAACAGTGTGGGTCAGCATCCAATGAGTGATTGCTGTGGTCAATAATTTTGGGGAATTATTTACCGCTAGAATTTGCTGTCTCATATCTTTGAGTTTTTTTCGTGTTTTAGACAGTTCGCATTGTAACTCAGCTACCTCATTTTTGAAAACATTTGATGCTTGAGTTGCTGAACTTGTAGTGGATGTTTTTATTGGATGTGATTGAGTATTTTGAAAAGTTGAAAGACACATTGACTCCATTTTACTAGATAGATTGGGAGAATTATAAGAGTTCTGAGTAACATAATTATTCGAACTTCTGCGGACAGTCTTGATGTATCCAACTTTACCACATTTATGACACTTAGCACCCCGAAAACGGCAAGTGCTTCGTAGATGTAACTTTTCACAGGATAAACACGGTTTAATGTTTTTGATCTTTCTCTGCATTCTATTACCTGTGGACGACAGTTTGGATTGCTTTCCATGAACACTTGTATTTTCGACTTTGGACAGCATGACATCAGATACTGACGTAGTGGGAGCAGAGTATTCATTATTGACATCTTCATATGTAATACATACATCTTTAGCAGTTTGAAACGTACAAGAAGGAATCTGAATTAACTCTTTCTCTAACTTAGGAATATTGATTCGAGAAATTAGACGATCACGTAGTTGAGTATGAAGCTGATCTCCAAAGTTACACTTTGAGGCTTGTATTTGAAGTTGAAAAATAAAGTCTCGAATCTTCTGGTTGGGAGCGCGAACCAGTTTATGGAATTGAGCCCTCTCTCGCGTCTCAAATGTATATACATGAAAATGATTTATCAGAAGTTCATGGATCTTGTCATATGACAGAGAAATAGGTTTATCTGGAAACGACAGTCTTTACTAGGCCATATGCATCTAGCCCAATAGCAGTAATTAAATGAGCTGGAATTTTGTCATCCCTAACGTTCTTTGAAATGCACCATGCATCGAGGCATTCAAGGTAATCAGCAATTTCCCGCGGTGAACCATTTATAGGGAATTTTCCAAGGTTATTTAGTTCCATCGCGACACCAATTTGTTGTAATTATTTGTAATCATAGTATTAGTATTTCGAGATGAACGAATTACAAGAATCCAACCAAAACACAGAGAGGGCGGAATTCAGGAATTCGTATTTAGCGGAATTATATTCAGTTCATACGAAAAATATTAACAATCAACAGTAAGTATATAAACAATACAGAGATAGAAATAGTCAATCACCACATAACCTCACGACTGAGGAAGGTATTGTTACATTAAGATAAGGTTTAGAGAGAAGCGACCTTGTTGGTTGCTCCCTTAAAACCGGAAAACAAATAATACAGGGAATAAAACATTCAGAACAACACCAGGAAAAGGAATATAATTCACAGCAAAAAGTGCAACAAGCACAACAACAATACAAATGACATAGTTATGCACAGTTAACTAAAATGATGCCAAAACTATAGACTCGCTGACTTGGGCCAACTTGAACATATAAATCCAACAATATATACAATTACAGATATGAGTTAGTGTTAAAAAGTCACAAAATGCTAAACAGTTAGTTATAGGTATGAGTAGTCAACAAGATTATATCCACAGTTTTAGTGTCAGAAAGTAAACGGATTGCAATAATTTCCGAAACTTCGTGGTCAGAATCACCAGAGAAATGATAGTTTTATGTAACCAAGCAGTTGTAGCGCACTAATCGAAAAGCGCGGCCATACATATATCATTCAGAAAAATAAAATTGGATAGATATTGTAGTAAAAGACTCTGTAGAAAACGTTTGTAGACACTAAGTCCAGATTTCTCAATAAGGATTGCTAAAGTTTCGGCTTCATGAAGAAGATGTAGACGAAATCCTTTGGAAAACCCTGGTTGTACTTTATATATGACTCTCAAAGAAGTCTTTGAGGATACTGCATGATCAGGAGTGACAAAGTGCTCCAGCATTCAGCTGTCGACTGTTCTGAGTTCTGCTTTTGACAACTATGCTCTTTTTGTTTTCTTGAATATCTATATAATAAACTCTATGTGGTGTTTAATTGGTGGATGGGGATTAGCAGTAGAATCAAAGATACACATTTCGTCCTTTTTGGGACTCGTCATCCGGATGTACCTGCATTCCGCAGTGAGTGATAGTTTTCCCATAATTTCAAACGTCAAAGATTCATCCAGTCAATAACTTGGACCGCTTTAGCGTTTGAAACAATAGGCACTGGGTTCGAGCCTCGGTGGGGACATCATCACTCACTGGGAAATGCAGGCCCATCCAGTGACGAGTCCCAAATACGACGAAATGCGCATCCTGGATTCTACTCTCACTTACCCTCCACCAATTAACTTCTAGTTACATGCCCAGGCATTGTCAAAGCATCTGTACAAGGAGGCAACGTGTCAACTTCAGACGGAGCACTTCGGTCCAATCAATCGACGGGAAAATCTAAAATTCATTTTAATAATCTCTTAAGTCTTGTTTATTATTTTTTCCAAACTATTGTCAGTCCTTTATTCTCGTATTTTTCATCAACTATTTTCGAACGTTTACTCATCACTGAACTAGTTAGTTGTCAATTCTCTTGATTACGCAGGATTTTTCTTAATTTTTGAAACATTGTTATTACTCATCCACTTCAATTTGAGTAAATAGTATTCTATAACACTGAGACTTCATCAAAATAATTTTTCTAGGTGATGGAATCATACTGTATCATAGTGTCCTAGTTCTGATCTTGTTATTGATCGACAGTAACCTATGACCTCTTTTGTCAGTCGATATTGCATATTAAAAACCCCAAATTAACTGTACAGTTTTGAAGTGAGGTTACCTAAGGAGGTTTCTTTGTTGACTTCTGTGTTACTCAAAGTGTGAAGGTTGGATGTGAGTTTAGAAGTCCAACCCCATAGAACAGGGAACAACTCCACCCCTTTATTGGAACTTCAGGGCTTCTAGTCAGAAGGTTTATACTCCGCTGACAACGCAACGGAACTAAGAAGAACCAGTAGAAGTAGAATCAAGTTCACGTGTTGGTTTGTAGGGATTTGACTGGTTACAGGACTTCACCATGAGTTGAAATTGGTTAGAGAGCCATTCGAAAACCTGGGAGTATTGGACAGTTGTTTTGTTCCAGTTTGGGACTATTCATCAGTACGCACCCACCGGGGATCGAACTCAGTACCTACTGGTTGCAAGGTGAGCTAGTTCGTAGACCATTAAGCCACTAGGACCCGACCCAATGGCCAGTCCATGAATTCTAACTTCTCACGACATAGCGCGACCACTAGCCAATGTCTTCGGCGAGTATTTGTCCTTACACCCGACCTGCTGCACCCTACTTGTCACGAATTCTCTCTAGAACCCCACGTAACTACCTACCTGAATAGGGTCAGTCGCTAGTGAGCATCTCATCTATATTCAAGTGTTGGTTTGTAGAGATTTGATTGGTTACAGGACTTCATCATGAGCTGACATTGGTGAGAGAACCAATCAGAAAAGAATCAAGTTCACTTTAAGACGGTGTAACAAGCCATCCAACTAAAAAAAAACCATATACATTTTGCAAAGAATAAAGTTTATCTATTTTCTAAACCTAAAATAAATAATTTAAAATTAAAAAAAACAACTGTTAAACAAACAGACAGTAGTGACAAATACTTATCATTTGGAAAAAATATATATAGAGAGAGATATAAAATGATTTGCATTTCATTATCAGTAGAATGTGTTTGTGATCAGCAGTAGTTAGAAGAAATAATAATAATAATAAGATGAATGGTAAATGTACAGTAATAATCGAAATATTGTAAAGTAATATAAATTATACACTTTGAAAGTTATTCCATTGAATTTCTATACTACACGATCAAAAGATGAAAAGTTTCTTAATCAGGATTCAAAGGTGAATTTTATCCACTACAGGCAATTTGTGCTTCAAGTTATCAAGTGGGTAGTAAATTTACCTCATGGTGTTTACATTAGTGTTTTGTTTTGTTCTGTTCTATCTCAAACCAGTTATTAATATTTATAATCACATGTGATACAAAAGAATGAAGGCATAACATGGAGAGAAGCAGAGGACAAAAATATCAGCAGTAACAGGAGTACATTATCAAGCTGAAGTGATCAGCAGTGTATTGTTTAAAAAAAAATCAATAAATAAAGAAATAACTGTAGGCTATACATCATCATTAATCAGTCAATCAATCTTATTTGACAATAGCAGATTAAATAATTCTATCTGACTCTTATTTCTTTTATGGTTTTAGTTGTCGGATGTTGAAGATTCAGCTTTGACTTTTTCCTCAACATTATCACTGGCTTTATTGTCACAATACATCTCTTTTTTTTTGAAAGACGCTCCGCTTTTTTTCTCTCTCTCTCACCTTGTTATTAATGAAGAGATGTCAGACTATCAGTGTGATTCTCTCCTGGTATCTCATTACTACATAATGGAATAGGATTAGGAGGATGGAAAGAAGAAGCAACAGTAGTGGAGGTTACAGTAGCAGACGATGGTCGAGAATCTATCATTTGAGTTGATGTTGATGAAGTATCGGTTGAAAATTTTTCATTCAGTAATTCATGCATCTGTTTAGCTATATTATGCACATGTGTAATACTAGGCCTATCCAACGGTTCTTTCTGTATACACATGTTAACGAGATCACGAAGCTAAATTAAAATAGGAAGAAATCAATGATGATGAAATAATATTGTATAATTTAAAAATTATTTGAAAAATTAAACATTTATTAGTTAGTGTAGAACAGAAAGTGCCAAATGATGTCGGTGGCACAGTGGTTAGGACTCTCGCCGACCATGCACATGGTCCAGGGTTCGATCCCCTGCCAGCGCACACCTGATATCTATGGTTAGCCTGCGAAATTTGGGCTACCGATATCCATGCTGAATATTGCATACTTCTACCAAAAAGTACTGTGCGGAATCAAGCTATAATCAAAAAAAGTTCACACCAAACAATTGCTCACTTTCTTATACAACTGGCTCTATTTAATAGTTTGATCAAAGAAAGAATGAATATATGAACGGGATTTTAAGAGCTCATTTTGTTTTGTGGATTCTTCTCACCTACGTACTTCCAATTTATATTTTGATATTGTTTAGGAAGTACAGAGTCGTAAAGAATCCACGAAATAAAACAAGCTTGTATTGTTTTAAAATATTGCTCGATTTTTCATGAGAAAATTATCCAACAAGTCAGGAGTAACTCTGAAACACTGCTAGAAAACTCCTGTCACAATGACTAAATGACCAACAGTTTTATCTTGCAACCTGAAGGTCCCGCGTTCTACCCTAGGTGGGGTTATGGGTAGGTGATACTGAAGAGTTCCAAACAGGAAAGAAACAGCGATCCAGTATTCCTTGACTTTGACTGGTTCTTTGAGTGATATCAATCCATGATCTTATTTAAAAAATGCGAAGCTCAGAGAGTATCTTAATTGTCTTAACAATGTTTACTGGAATAGAATTTCACAGAAACAACAGGTTATCCCTATCTGGTGTTTGCAGCACGAAGGTCGTTTGTACTGAAAAAAGCGCCTTATACTGAACTGTTGGTGACCCAGAAGTGAAAATATTCAAGTGATACCACGTGCCAGGTCCAGGAGTGAAAGCTGAATTAGAGAGTGATAGGCTGAGACTAGTTGACAAGAGGATCATGTGAAGAGGAAGGGAATACTTGTGAGCAGTCGTGGAGTCAGTTAACAGTTATGGTGGGAAACTGAGTGTAGAGCCGTACATCCCACTCGGGGCTCAAGGAAAGAATAACTGAATAAAGTTAGGTGATGAATAGTGAACATTATTTTACAGTTTAATAAATAAATAAATAAAAATTATCTGAATAAACTAACCTCGGTTGAGTAGATATCTTTTGGCAATGGTGAATAATCACCATGTTCAATCTTTTGACATAAACGAAATAAATTCATTTTTTCACCGTAGAATGGTGACTGTAACGCTGCCATCTCGTAAAGCAGACACCCCAGTGACCAAATATCTGAAGCAAAATCATAGCCTTGTTCATGTATTCTTTCCGGTGACATATAATACGGTGTACCGACTATGTATTAATAAAAACACGAAAAATGTTAACAGTAGGTAAAAAGGGATATAAAATGAAAAATTTGCATACAACGGATAGAGTGTTAACAAGAAATATTAACTGGTGAAAACTGTATATTGGCGATTCTCATCTTAGTGTAATCCTACTTCATATCTCTGCTTGGCCAAGATGAAAATGTGACATATCACACAGTCATAATGAGGAAACAGTCGGCTGATTGTATAAAACCGATGTGCCTTAAGTAGATACTCGACTTCTTGTCCATATATAAACATGAATTATTCGATGAGGCCTGAATAAGTAAAACCAAAACAAAACAACTTTGGACTACATTACTAACGCGAATATTCTTATCTCAATACCACGAATACAGTAAACAATCACGCTGCTTTTCTCATCACTTTTAACTACTAAAAGGATGTAGATCTTAAAAAGTTTGTCCAAGCTAAAGGATAATAAACGATTAATTGAACAGCTTAAGTGATCCAGTCGTTGTTAACAGAGAAAATAAGTAAACAGTTTGCAGAAGTTAGAAATCACTGGCCACCGGATTCTGTCCCAGTATGTAGTTGGTATAAGAGCTCGCCTTGTAACCTGACGATCCCGGGTTCAATCTCTGGTGGAGTCATGAATGCGCATTATTGAAGAGTCATGAACTAGGACTAAACAGCTGATTTTCAGTGGCCCTCTAAACGAAGACATTTAGTGATCACTTTTGAAATTAATCAAATCAAAAACTTAAAAGATCTTGTTCACTAGGTAACAAATGAAAATGGCATATGCAGAAGATATAGTCCTTTTAAGTGAGGACGCTGACAAAATGCAGAGTCTTCTGAACACCTTGAGCTGCAATCTACGAATGTTTGGCATGCAATTCACTCCTGACAAATGCAAGATGATGTTACAGGAGTGGACCACACTGACTCCCAGTTTAGAAATAGGGTTGAAGTGGTAGAGCACGTTGACCGCTTCACTTATTTGGGAATTACCATCAGCCCCAACGGGTTGATCTCTGACGAAATCTCAGCACGGATACAGAGGGCTAGTTTCGCATATGCCAGTTTACGCCGTCTCTGGCGTAGACGTGATATCCGGCTGGCTGTCGACCAAAGGGCGTATGTACTGCTGAGCAGTCCACTACATTCTCCTTTATGACTGTGAGACCTGGCTATTGAAGGTGGAAGACATGAAAAGATTAGTTGTCTTTAATCATAGGTGCCTGCACTCTATCTCCCGTGTTAAGTGGTAAAATAAGGTGAGCAATATTGAGGTTAGGCGTCGAGTGCTAGGTAGGTGGGAGGGGAAATCAATCGACCGAGATGCTTAGGACATGTGCTACGTATGCCTAGTCATGGCCTTCCTCGACAAGCAATGTTAGCTGACATAGGGTCAGGCTGGAAAAGAGCTAGCGTTGGTCAGACCAAAACATGGCACCAGTCAGTGAAATCTACAACAGTTATTTTAAGCCACGTAGGAAGGTGTAGACTTCCTGGTTGGGGTCCTCGGCACGGTAAAAACCAATGGTTGGAAACCACTGGTGATATAGCTCGAAATCGTTCTCAATGGCTAACGCAGATGCATCCACCCCTTGTGACTTACGATTTCCGATGAGACTGTTTTGTTCTTTGCTACTACTATTCCTTTGTCTCACACTTCTGTTTACTGTCTCTATTATGCATTTGTTCTACTTTCTTTTCTTGCTTTGTGTGCTACATGGAGTGCGGCAACTTCAACTGCCGCACATCGGTGCAAAGTTCTATGTCGAAAACAGACGGACAGTTTTTTACCCTACTGTGAGAGATTCACACAAGAATTTCCATGCTGTATCATGTTATTTTTGGAGGCAGTTCATTCACATGTTCATCTTGATATTCTTTGTAGGGACGATAGCTATAAAAGCCTAATAGGGATACGTCACTCTTATTTGCTAAAACGAACTTTAAGTAGAACTGATAATGGGATTGAGAATTAAGTGTTTTTACAGAAAGTATTATTCTCTGTGATATATTATGGAAATGACATTAACTATTGAGTATTTCACACACTATAAAATTAATCTAATACGGTTTGACATGGAAAATTTGGAAAAGTTGGCGAACACTAATGTACTATAAATATTTTAATGATGTGTGTCATTTGAGACATCACAGCTAGCATCGGCCCAAGGACACATAGCAAAAGCATTGAGATACGCATCAGATGCATTGTAGAAAGTTTGGAGCACATGACGAACATACTACAGAAAGTTCGACAGAGTCGAGCGAATAGATCGATGTATGCCCAATGGTCTTTGTCTCAATGTTTCTGAAGTGCACTTGTTACTTTTTCCAGCGGCTATATTTTAAACTTGCCTTTCTATCTGTGAAAACTTTGTAGATGTTGTTTTAGTTACTACTGACAAATATTTACCTACTTAGTGTCTATAAAAACACTTAGGGTTTATTTTCTATTCCATGATATAAATTTCATCTTAGTTATCTCAGCTTGAAAGACTGACTTGATTGCAAAGGGTATTAGTAACGGCAAGGTTATTTATTTCCTGTTTGGACGAGTCACTGACAATGTACAGTCAGGTCATGATTGACTAACTTACCAGAACAGCCTTATTTTTGCCAGTATCTTTGAAATTGTGTTTTTGAAAGACTGAACAGAAGTTTTAAATCTTAATCTAAGTCATATAGATGTACTGATTTTCAAAAGAATGGATACTGAACAGAGAGTACTCTTTTTGATAACTTCATCATCAGGCTCTACAGTTATATATACATTATAGTGAATGAATCAGTTAGTGTTATGAACGACATTAATGTTTTAATCAAATCAAATCAATAATATTGATAGATTACAGCTGAATCGCATCAACATGAAATAAGCTGAATGTCAGAAGAATTAGGAAGGATAATATTACAAATCCATGAGTTTATAGTCTCTACTGAAGGCGAGGGCAATAGTAGGGGCTGGACTTGCTTCTTTTGGGTACAGAGCGCTGGTTGTTTGAGGCGTTTGTTTGGAGCATGCAGTGCTTCGATGTTTTTGGCAATTTATTAGGCATATAAGTATAAAACTTGGGCACTGTGGTAGAGTATAATTCCATTATAGGTAAGATTTTATTTTGATAAATCGCACAGTGTTTACAGTTATATGAACTGATGACGTTTCGAGCACAAACTATTGCTCATAATCATATCAAGTTACTCACACAACTTTGATCTCTCATTTATATACATATGTGGAATGGATTGCACTTCATGCAATAACAAACAACCACACAATAGGGTGGGATAGGGTTAAAATTCTAAAAAGTTATATAGCTAAGTGGAGAGAGAGGTTGATTACGGAATCCTTATTTATCAAGTCCACATCCAACACATGCAACAAAAATGACTCAATGCAAATACCAGAGATATGGAAGATATTATTACCGCAGGTCAAATCAGAAAAGGGTAATAAATAATATTAAAATTCTATTTCGATTTAAACACATCACAACATCCTAACAAAAAACTTATTATGACTATTAAAACACTCGTCGTATCTTCCATCTGATTATAGTAGATCAATAACACTCGTATTAATGCCATCAGTCAAACCAGAAGAAGATAATAAATAATCTTAAAATTCTATTTCAATTCAAACACATTCTAACAAGCAGCTTATTATGACTGTAAAAACACTCGTCCAATTTTCCCATCTAATTGCAATTGATCAACAACACTCGTACGATTATTTCTGAATGTACATTATCTCACATTGATTTTTAATCCAATATCTAATCCATTCCACATATGTATATAAATGAGAGATCAAAGTTGTGTGAGTAACTTGATATGATTATGAGCAATAGTTTGTGCTCGAAACGTCATCAGTTCATATAACTGTAAACACTGTGCGATTTATCAAAATAAAATCTTATCTATAATGGAATTTATTAGGCACCTGGTATATTATAGGGAAGGACTCTTCTACGCTGGCTTTGTGGCCGGTTTGCACCAGATGTTCCGATACCGAGCTGTTAATAGTTTTCACTACACCTTTACTTAGTCATGCTGGGAGATGTTCTCGAGTACGAAAAATCAAGTTCCTAGAGCAAAGGCCAATATAACTCGCTCCACAAGCGCAGTTGAATTGATAGACACTATTTGAAGTGGCTAGTCTAGGCACTTCATTTTTCAGTCGAGGAATCACCATCGGTCGTGTAGAGAATAATACGTGTAGTTCGCCAGCAATAAAAGTTCTTTGAACTGATTTTCTTAATTTCTTCGCAATTATCTCGCTTGGTATATCGCCCATGAATTGTAGTCGTATATAAAGTGGCTTCTTGTTTAAGATAGTGAGTAGTCCTTTTCCGCTTTCTTTGTCATGTGTTTCTTGACAAATTTGTCGGGATAGCTATTTTAGATCAAAGTATCATATACGATGCTTAATTCATTTTCAATTACTTCTTCTGAGCGTATAGCTCTAACTCTGTGGCTGAGGGTCTTCACTAAATTTCTTTTATACTTGATAGGAACGAAGCTGTGAAAATGTGTATATTGTCCTGTCCAAGTGCTTTTTCTATGTAAATTTCTTCTTATGCTACCATCTGGTTTTCTTGTAAGTAGGACATCCAGGAAGGCAATTCTGTCTTGGGATTCCTCTTCGCATGTGAATTTCATACGCGAATGTACTTCATTGAATTCAGTAATTATTGTACTCTATCAGAACCATTATCACAAAGAATAAAGGCATCATCCGTATATCGGCAATAAAATGAAAGCTTACTGATAAGTTTTTCAGAGGTCCATTTTCTAGCTTACTTAGAAAGAAATCAGCCAAAATGACACCCGATGGGGGGCCCATCGCCACCCCGTCCACTTGTCTGTATAGCAATCCGTTAAATTTGAAATTTATATTCATGGTACATCTTAATATGAATTCTTTTAGGAACTCAGTATGTATGCCAATGTTTATCGATAGATTGTCCAGTTGTTCACCTATGTAATTAACTGTTTCTATTAAAGGTACATTTGTGAATAATGATGTTATGTCCAGAGATATCATGGTTTTATCCTTGATATTAACATCTTTTATTTTGTCTACGAATTCAAATACATCTTTGGCGCTTTATTTCACTATCTTCTCATGCAAAGGTACTGATTTTACAGTAAAATGGTGACTTGTTTAACATATACATTTATTTTGAGCAGCTAAGCTAAATAATTAATACTAATCTACAGATAATAAACTCTAGTAGAAGAGAAATATCACAGTTTTCCTATCTGTCACCGTTAGCAATAGTATCTTTAAGAAAAAGTCACAAAAAAAATCGGTTTCTTAAAGTCTACAAAAGTCACAGCAACAATGATAATCAAAACTAATCCAAAAGATGTTGTTCATTTAATATTTTCAAGATAGAGAGAAAGAAGACGGAGAATAGGAAGGAGTCTATGCAACTAATTAATTAATTAATTAATATATTATGCAAAGCTGCACGCTTCAGTAAATCTGTATATTTCTTAGTAATTTCTATAATTAATATGGGAAAAGTAATAGAAAGTGGAAGAGAAGCAAAATGACTTATGTAACATTAGAGAAAGAATTGCATTACATCTCTTCTTAGACACTGGCAATAATTAAACATTAACTTGTTCTAACCATTGAATACAATCATAATTCTTATTTAAGCGTGAATGTTTCAAACCGAATATCGTAAAGGTTAACGTTGGTTAAGATCCTTTGTCAAAGTGATTTACCCATATCTGGAAGCCAAAAGTACGACTGAATTTAACTGTCTGATTGATGAAATATGTATCACAAATCTGTCATATATACTTTGTCTTTAAGCAGCTGTCAACAGCAAGTTATGTCTTTAACTTCTACGGGACTTATGTCTCCCTAGAGATTTGAATCCTCACCATCAAGTGCTACAGTTAGGGATGATGGCAGTGAGCCAGACAGGTTCAAAATTGATCTCCTGCAGGACTAACATTGACTAACTGTTGTAGAGTAATCACTAGTCGACTGCATCAATGAGTGAGTTTGCTTGAATCTCCATGTTGATTAGTGCCAATAAGCATAAAATCAAGTACCAGGATTCCTGTTGTTAGTCTCGAACCATCTATAGATGAGGTATATGTGATATTTGATGTATTTTATCTACTAGACTGCTAAACTTTACGGTGCTCTATGCTTTCAGATAAGATGTTTCATGAATGTACTAAGGTTCGAACCGAGGTCCTGAGTGTGAACTGCCGAAGAGTCCTGAGCTAGAACAAAACAGTTGTCTAGTACGCTCTGGTTTCCGAAGGTTGTCTAAGTGGTCTACATTGGTAATCTAATCTAATATTAGTCAAATCTGCATAAAGTAACACTTGAAAAACATATTTTGAATACATAAGTTGTTGTATCAGTTATTTACAATAGTTAACCTATTTCATTATAATCAAGAAACTACAAAAATAAAGTGGAAAAACATCCAGCCATTAGTGATACTTTCATTTTTAGGGAAACTGGAATTCATAAGTTTTGTGCGTGCATTACAAGACAAGCTACAGAATAAACAAGAAATGAAACAGGATTCCATTAAATCTTTGTTACAAACATTAGGTAGATAAAACCAATTGATATAAACCACTTAGAGTACTCAGAATATTCTGCTTCACTGTGGCAGATGTTAAGCAAGACGATCAATAAAGTTGAACAGCTTATTTCTAGCGTTTGCATGAGATACAATTGGATAGTTTACATGCCTTCAAGAAAACATCAACGATCACACAGACTTGAACCATTTTTTGTACTGACCATTCGGTGATTGATTATCAGTCTTTTGTATGTTTTTGTGCATGAACAGCAGACAATTCATCCATTTCGTTCCGTTTCTATATTGAGATTAGTATTCACTGATTTTTTTGTATGTGAATTAAGTATCGCCCATTTGATTATTGTAGCACACGCATGTCATAAAGCTTCATTTGTCGTGTATTAAGCAACTGGCCTACAACACTTGGATAATTTTAACTCTCAGTCCATTATACGGTATTTTTAAATACGTTTTGTTCATAGAATATTGAATCCTAAGAGACTTGCTTGTAACTAGTCTACTAACGTGTATATGTATGTATATGTATATACGCATCGGCGGTACAATGCTCTCCAACCACGCACATGGTCGATGCACTCTTCGGCCTAACTTAGCCAGGAGTAAGTGTGGCATATAGGGAAGGTTTGGGCACGAGACTAGTAGCTTTTCAACCTCCCACCCCATGGAATCATACCACCACTACTGAAAGTTTAAACCTCAAACTTCAATCCTTATGTTCTACTCAGAGCGCAAAGGGGTGATATATGTGCGAGCAGCCTATTGATCAATATTTTTCAATTGCCTTTTAATCTATTAGTCCTATCAGGTTTATATCCTTTTCCAAGATTTATCTGTACATTCTATGAACTATTCTGTATACAAGATTATTTGTTTGATCATTTGATATTGTATTATCATTATAATGATAAAAAACATTTTAATCGCATTTCACGTCACTGCTATTCATACCTTAATTTAAAATTTCTGATAGGATATGGTTTCCTAAAAGTTGTATATAAATACAATTATAGAACTTAATAATAAATTCATTGGAAAGGGTCTCTTCGCTGAATACCATATTCTTCATTTTTTTCAGAAATAAAGTGACTTACACATATAGAAATACAGCGTGACTATAGGGACCCTTGAGGTTAGGGTATCACGCGGGCGAATAAACCGACAGATGCAATCAATGTGTAGGACTTAGAATGCATTACCGTTGAGCGAATAGTCTGAACTGGTAAATAATTTTACAAAGCGGGTACTTCTTTCAGGAGAATATGTACTACTTGTTTAACAAAAAAGCACTATAGTGATCCCATTGTGCCACAAAATATAGAACAATGTAAGAGTGTATTCGGCAATCACAGGGTCTCTACGCACAGAATGTTTTGTTTTTCGGTGAATATACAATTCCCTTTTTCACCAAAATTTCAACCAATGTGGATGCTGATAATGAGACTATCAAAGGAAGCCTTTGGTTGGTAGACCGTTATCAGTGCAGTGAGCAGGTGATGACTGAAGGTTAAATGCAAATTTGGGTCACTGAAGGTTTCGAGATGGAGACCTCCGTATTACTGTTTTGCTGCTAGGTGTTATCCATGAAATTATGGTCCAGATGGCAGGGCTGTGGACTAGTAATTTGTAGGCTGATAGTCCAAGCCTCTTCCTAACACGGAGCTGTGTTCCACCTTCAGTCACCAGTCATTAGTGTCGAAAAACATATAAAAGAAAGGTAACACAGAAACATTTCTCACCTAAAGAATGAGCTGCTATAGTTTTTGAGCTGAAATACCTTCCAAGTCCAAGATCGCCTAGTTTCACTTGACCTTTGGCATTGATAAATACATTAGCAGGTTTAATATCTAAACAAAATGAGAAGAAAGGGAAATCATGTTAAAACAATACCACCGTTCTAACCTTGAATAAGCAAAAATAAAAAAATTATAAGAAGGATTTTTAAAAAAAAACATACGAAGCTGCCTGAATTCCTCTTGAGAAGTCATTACCAGTGAGTCTACCTTGTCGCAAATGAGAACACTGGCTGTCTGATACACCAAAATCGCCCGCCGGTAGAATTCGGAATTCATAGGCCATTGGATCAGGTCCCAGTGATTTTGAATAGCCTACGAGCTTACCTTAGAACCGAAAGGTCCTAGATTTGAACATTAGTGGGTGGATGCTGATGAGGCGTCCAAAACTAGGATGAAATAGCTGTCTAATGCACACAATGAAACTGAACAGCTCAATGCCTTTCTGACAAGTTTTTCCATCTGTTACTATGGTTTCTTAGAGCATATGGCATGGTATTCATGTTATTCTAAGTGTAAACAATATTGTTGACAATCTAATCGTTTCTCATAGAGACTCTATCTTTTTCTCCTTGAATAGAAACACTCATTTTTCCTTTCATCATTTCAGCTGGTTGTTTATTTATTTGTCCATTCATTGTCCAACACAAATTCTGTATATATATGTACCATAAAGATTAGTTGCTGAAAGATACTCAGTCTTTCTTCATTTATTAATAAATAGGCAAGTAAATTGTTTTTTTTTTTTACTAAGGCTTATTTACCATCTACTGCTATCTCACCACCAAGTCGTTTTCCCTTATTATTCCCATCTATATATAATAATAATATTGGATTATGTTAATTTCTTTTACGTTGACACTAAAATTCATTTGTGATCGTTATCATCATTACGTGTGTGTGTGTGTGTGAGTGTTTTGATGCCGATAGTCTATCACAAATGACTACTTGGTTGCCTAGGGTAACAAATAAACAATTACAACTATTATTGTCATTATTATTATTACTACATTGAGAAATGACCTTGCAAAATGAATTGTTTCATTGTAATTTACATTTTGTTATTGTTGTTGAGTTATTTAAACATTTCCATACATTACGATATTGAACAAACACAACAAGATGCTTAGAGAGGGCATGGAAAATGTAAGAAAGGAAAAAGTGGATGGGAGAAAGAAGAAAGAATAAAGAAAATTGGGATAATAGTGAAGCAATGAAAAGAAATACATAAATAAATAAACAATATATTTACTTATATGAATATAAAAATAAGAAAAGTAATTCTCATTTGAAAATTACTATTTAATGAGAAGACAAACAATAAAGGTTGTGCGGTATAGTTATTCATATTTTAAAATGAAAGACCTTATAAAATGGAGCTTCACTAGTGTATAAACTCAAATATTGACATACTAATACAATGATGTGTTTTTAATTCAATTCTGATTGTCTCATTGATTGGTCCAACAGAAATTGACGGCTTGTCTTGACATGTCGTCATCTAATACGGATGTTTCAACGATGTCCTCAGAGCAATTAACACTGATATTCAAGTGCTGGCTTGCGGGCATTTGATTTGATTTGATTGACTACAGGATTTCATCGTGAACTGATATCAGTTAGAGAATCATTAGAATACCTGAGAGTACTGGACAGCCATTTCATCTTAGCCTGGGACTCTTCATCCGAATGCATCCACCGGTGTTCGAACCCAGTTAGGAGTCGAACTCGTAGACCAATGTCAGTTCATGAAGAAATTGTGTGATCAATTAACAATGATGTCGGTCAGTAGATGGGGACTAGTAGTAGTATCCAAGTTACGCGTTTCATTCCTTTCACTGATAGTCACCAACAGCCAAATTACTTCAATCCAATCCTCAGATATCTTTAAAGTGTCGTTACGGTACTGGTAGCCGAAAGGTCAACATAGGCCAGATATTTCGGTCTAGCCAATCAGCTGAGAAGTGAAAATTGGTTTAAAAACAAATAATAAGTGATCCCCGTTGCACAGGAGGTGGCTCTCCTGGATAAAGCTCAGGTGTTTGAAACAATGAGCACTGCGTTCTAGCCTCACTGGGAATACCATCACTCACTGCGGATTACAGGTACATCCAACTGACTAGTCCTAAACAGGACGAAATGCTCATTCTGGACACCACTGCTATTCACCATCCCCTAAATTAATACTAGTACAATTATTATTCTCGGTGGCACTGCATCCTCTGAGCTGAGATGATTTAATTGACAATAGACTCAAGAAGCTAAGCAAAGATGTCTTCTCAGCGATTTTATCCTCAAAAGTTTTACAATCATATTTTATACATAATTTTCACGAAAATGACAAACTAATTCAACTTAATAACAAAGGGACATTAAAGTTGATAATAATTTTCAACTTGATATGAAAGTTTGAAGGTAAGAATATAGATAATAAATCATGATAGTGTTTCAGTCACAAGCGCCATAACTGAACACCTCATCAGCACCTGTTGCAACATCTCAACCAACATGTCACTAAGGATCATTTACAAAGTGGATAAAAATCTAACAAATGCAGCGTGTTTTTGACTCCTGTGTACTGTGGAAGCGCTCATCATATACACTGAATAGCTATGTGTTCGAAAGAATCTAGTTCAGTCTCTATGTTTACCATTCATCTAATTCTGTTTCGTTTCGAAGTTATCATTTTCCCCACCTCATTCATTTTTTTTCATCTTCAGTTATAAAAGCTATTATTCCACTTGGTTTCTATGCCCGTCTGCTTCACATCTGCTTTCGATAAAAAGAACTTATTTAAATATTACGCAACCACTTTCTGAGCCTGTGTAGCTTTATTTCCAACCTCCTTGTAACTTATATTCACCCCTTCGAATTTCCATGTAAATTTGAAAATTATTATCATCCTTAATCTTTCTTCTTTCCTATGCTAAATTAAATAATAATTGAAACTATGTAGACTGTACAATTTTTGAGGATGGAATAACCGAAAAGATATCTTTGGTGAGCTACATGCTCTTTTCTTTCTAATGTCCTAATAAGTATTTTCCATGTTGGAAAGCTCTCAATTTCTCCCATCCTATGTCAGTAAAAACAGGATTGGTGAAATGTTTAAGTACCGAGGCACAAAAACTAAGCTGTACCAAGGAAAATCTAAGACAGGAAGTGATACACATAAAAGAAGCCTTGAAACTTAATAATTACCCGGATAAATTAGTCAGGAAATATGTAAGGAAATGTAATAATAAGGTATATAATGATAGTAGTGATAGTGATAATAATAATGATAATAATGACGACACCAACAATAAGGAATCTAAATCATCAGTAATAATTCCATACAAGGAAGGAACCTCGGAAACCTTACGCAGAATTTTTAACAAGGCAAGAATAAAAATGGCTGGCATTCAAACCAACCACAAACTCAATTAGAAACAAGCTTTGTTGATTAAAAGATCTCATGGAGCCATTAAAAGAAAACAATTTAGTTTATCTAATACCCTGCTGGAATGATTGTCAGGTCAAATAAATAGATCAAACTAGTAGGACAGGGGAAGTTAGGTTAGCGGAGCATAAAAACCTAGCGAAATCTAGATTGGTTGACCCGAATAAGATATTAAATTAGAGAATAGTTCAGCCATGGCACTAAATGCAATCGCACACAACCAAACAACAGGATGGGATAAGATGACAGTTTTAAAATCTAATGTGACAGGGTGAAGGCAGAGATTGATAACAGAAGCTTTGTTTATCGAATCATCTGCAAATACGTGTAACAGAAATGATTCAACACCTGTCCACCCAGATATCTGGAAAATTCTACTACCCCTAGGACGACAAATAGGAGAGAACAAAGAAAACTGTAAAACTCAAGTTTCGAAGTCGTGTGATTGTAACTGATATGACTATGAACAATAAATTTTGTTCGAAACGTCATCCGGTAAATAATACTGTTTCACTCTGTGTGATACATCTAATAAACAAACTAATATGGAATTTTCCAGTAGACAATATCTTCAGTGTTAACCTTGAAATGAAGGGACAGTTTGAAAGTCTGCATGATCGACATAACTGCTGTTGATTGTTTCTGTGGCTTTGCTCATCCTTCTGCTGGTTTTACTTTTTTATTAGTTTTGATTATTTTGTTGACCTGATATTTTACAATTTTATATGTGAGTCATTCTCTTCTGCCACATAGTGTGGTGAAAGCAGGCTGCTAGTTAACTGATAGACATTAATTTACGTCAATGTCTATGTTGCTAATATTGGCCGTGAGAAAATATGAACAAGGCTGATCCAACAACCAATCACAGCAGAATTAACGTAGGCAAATAAGATTCGCAGATGTATAGCTTAACTTTCCGAGAAACCAGAAACAACTCATCAGAAGACTGTGTTTGTCTGCTTGAATAAGCTATAATAATGTACATGAAATATATATAAATAAGTGCTGATTTCCGTAATAAAACGATTTGTTGCCTGGCCCTTGTCTTCTGTTGTCACAATAGCTGTGATTTTTATCAGTGTGTGTCAGTTAATAGTAGACTTATCTACGCGTTTGTCTTCTTTCAATGAATTCTCTGGTATTCCTAATGTACTTTGTTGTGCTTACTTCCTGTATATTTTTTGGTTAAATTAATGTTTCCTGTCATCTATGTGGATTATAGGAAAGGATGACCGTCCCTGTCATTGATTGATAGTTAATGCTCAAGGATGTAAAGTTGAAGAGGATTATCCTCTTTGTGCGATATACTATTTCACAGCTAATATGATTTAATCTAATGAAAATAACGTTGGTTTTACCTTCTTCTACTGTTGTATCCTTTGGTTGGCATAATATTAAAATGAAAGGAGTTATTTAGCTTTTGAGCAATGTTCATTTAAAAGTGAAATCACTTGATCTTTTAAAGAAGCATGGTTACTTCCAAGGTATTCTAAGTATATCTGCTGCTTACATTCTTCTGTTTCGACTATTAATTTCACACACAAGATTGATTGAAACTGTTTATTTCATGTTGCTTATTTATACGTTTTAATGTTTATTATTTATTATTATTATTGTATCCTTTAGTTCCTAGAGGAACATAGGGCTTCAGCTGAGCACATCCATTGCCTTCGGTTTTCTGACAACTTTTTCACCCTGCTCCGGGTCTGTCCACATGCTTTCATCTCCTCCTCGCATGACCTCCTCCAAGTCACCCTTGGACGACCAACTCACCGCCTCCCTTTCGGGTTCCATTCGAGGGCTTGTCTAGTGATGTCACTTGATGGTTTCCTCAACGTATGGCCAATCCATCTCCATTTCTTCCTGCCTATTTGTTTCACAATCGGTTCCTGATTGGTTCGCTCCCAGAGATCCCTGTTGCTAATCTTTTCTGGCCATCTGATCTTGAGTATTGAGCGGAGACAGCTGTTAATGAAGGTCTGAAGTTTGTTTCAGATGCTCTTTATGACGCGGCGCCAAGTCTCTGATCCGTATAGTAGCACTGACTTTACATTGGAGTTGAAAATCCGGATCTTATTTTTGATGCTGAGGGCTGTTGACCTCCACACAGATTTGAGAGTAATGAAAGCTTGTCTTGCTTTTCCGATTCTGGCTTTGATATCCTCGTCAGTTCCGCCTGTAGTTGAGACGATGTTTAATGTTTATAGGTTAAGCAAAAAAGTAATATTCTATGTTGTATTACAAACATCTGAGGGATAGGCATTGTGCCTACAGTTCAGCGTTTCCAGCATAGTTCACATTAGGAATATCTAAGGAAAGTGATTACGCCTCTTTTTTTCATTTCTTCTTATTAATATATATTCAGGATGGAGTGTATACCTTCAAGCTTGAATTTTGAATTTTCAATAGTGATATTATTCTTTTAAGGAGTGTGCTTACTAGCCTCACACTCAATCTTCCATCTTTAGCGTGTTTATTATCGGCCAAGCCAGGTTTGAGAGTGGTTCAATCCCGATTTGAACCTAGACCACCTGAGTTAAATTAAACATCACTATTCAGTGAATAATAACCCTTATTAATAATAATGCTCATTCGTATATTTTTATTTATCAAATCCATACACTCAACATCTTTTCATAGAAATAACAGGAGGAGTATAAAAAGAGATGTATACTTTATACTAAATATTCTAGGAACAAGTGAAAAAATTCCTTGCATAGTCGATATAAAAGACAACTAATAGCAGTTTAATGTGAAAGACTTTTAGTAAACTTATGTTTTATTAGCTGCTTTAATGTTTATAGTACACAGTACATTTAAGTAGTTATTTGAAACAATGTGGATCATCACTGTGAGTTGATGAATGACAACAGAAGTGATTATACTACTAATAATAATAACAAGGATAAGTCCATTCAATTGTTTATATAATCTAAGTAGTCATGATCTTGTAAGCAGGATGTGTATAATAATAGGGATGAAGGGAAAGACAACTACTGACATGTAGCGATTAGAGAATATAATAATAGATTGTAAAATTAAGATTAAAATAAACGACTATAGCACAGAGTGATAGTAATAATAAAGTCAGCAATACATATAAAGATAACATTTACGGTTATCCAGTGTCAGCTGTAGAGATAACTGTTCTAGGTTGGGGTAGAATGTCATGAGAGGCAAAAAGATTGAACAATCATTTTGTGAGGACATTAGGCTGGAACTATTTTGTGGTAACTACTTCAGTGATGCTTAGCAATCGAGAACATATAAACTTAAGGAACTGAGTAGGATTAAATTGATAGGCGGAATTTCCATCAATCTTGTAATATGTATCCAGAAGTTGTGTTAACATCGAACCCCTGTTTGATTTTACGACTCCTTTACCTCACCACGTTGCACAACGCTCAAAAAGGCGACGATGGGTTTACTGAGTCGTTCTATCTGTGTAACCGTCTCCACAAAAACAGTTACGTTTATAAATATGCCTTGAAGTGGCCAGATTCAATGGCTTATCCTTCACATGCGTTAGAATTATACAACGAGTGGTGAATTTTAAACATAGTGTTACAGCAAAGAGCGTTTTAGCTGTTATTTTTTTTGAGTTTTGATACCGCTGATTTAGCGGCTGCGTCTGCTTTCAACGGTAGTCATATATATTTCTTCTTCACAGTTTGTAGGCATTTCTCTTTTGCTGTTCTCATCTTGAAGACCTTAACAACTTTTTCTGGATATCTGTTTTCGTTCCTTATTTTATCGTCAAAAGTTTCGGTTGCGAAGATTTTTCTAGCACAAAACATCACATGTAGTGATGAGACTTCATAAATGATCAGTTAAGGGAATTCTAAAAAAAAACAAATATTCATCGAATTGACGAAGTGATATCTTATCATCCTGGATAAATGTTTACGGAGACTAATAATAACCACAATAGATTTCAGTATCATTCACAGCGTTGAAAACAGTTACCCCAAGGTGTACTGAAAATTATACATATACACATAATCTCTTACCTCTGTGCATAATACGCTTAGAGTGCATATGTTCCAAACCACTGCTAATCTGAACAAAGTACTTCCAAATAGTCTTCTCAGGAATTAGTCGTTTTTTCTTACGAAAGTGCTATGGTAAAAAAAAAGATTGTAAAAAATAACATTTTCTTACATAAATTGTACTGACAAAAGAATTTTTTACTGAAGTCACTCACATAAGTAATGAAAACTTAGACAATCTACTGGAAGAAGAAGGTACATGTTAAGCATTACTTAGGCTATATTATTCATTCAGTGTTGCAAAACGAAGAGATCGATGTATGAATCAGTAGACCTAAACATTCCCAGTCTTATCGTAAAACAGGTAATCAAGTGATTCACTTTATCACTGTGAAATTCTGTCATGAACTGAAATCAGTTAGAAGAGCATTTAAAGACCCAGAGCCTTATGATGCTAAATGAGATCAAACCAAAGCCTATACGCTACAAACGGAATCCACATACCATTCAGCCACTAGGATTGGATCCAGCTGCATATGGATTATAACTTTTGTTGTTTCACCATCATCTACCAGTGTCATCAGTGAACATTCTGCAGGTCATAACTACTCCACAGGAACCTAATAAATAGCTGTTCTAAAGGTGCTGGCTGATTTGAGTCAGATTAATGTTTAGATGAGAGATTTGTAGGGAATAAACTAATTTCAGTGTCAGTGTGTGAAAACATCTGTAATCAGATTAATCGAATCCCTTGACACTCATTAACTGATTCAATTAATGCTTAAATTTCTGAGAAAGATGAGCTATTTTCTTTTAAGATTTAAATTATACTCCACTGGTTTTCAGTGGCATTCTAACTGGTGGTTGAAGGGATTGCACGAGGGTCCTTGGTTCGATTAAAGGCTGGACCATAGGTGTGTATTGTCGAAGAGTCTCAAACAGAGGATAAAACAGATGTCTAGCGATTCTCAGTTTTCACTGGTTTTTTAAATGATATCGATTTGTGATCTAGTTTGAAATCTTATCTTATCTCAAGTTAAATAACAAACTGATATCATTTAGAGAACCACTGATGACTATTATCTTAACTTCAAAAGCTTCTGCCCTATAAGTTACAAAAAGGGATTGGTGAGAACATTATTTGATCGTGTGAGGAAACTGTGTTCAGAAGAAAAGATTGAAGAAGAACTATCCATTGTGGAGAAATGCCTACGCGACAATGGTTACCCACAAAAGTTCATCGACAAGTATGGGAGACGTCATGTTGAAAAAGTGAAAAGCGGCACAGTAGATAAAAAGCCTATCTTTCTGCAGCTTGCATTCAAAGGTGATGATACTGCTAGTAGAATAAGATGCAGACTGAACATTGCCCTGAAAAGAACATATCCAGCCGCAAAGCTTGTATAGGTTTATCAAACAACTAGTTGTTTGAGAACAATCAAAAGTGAACAAATACCCACCTCATGTTACCTCCAACTGTATCTACCAATTTACATGCACGTGCCAAAGCACATGCATTGGAAGAACAGAGAGAAGGGTTAGTTTCCGCATTTATGAACACATACCAAAGAACTTGAGACTGAAAGGTCCACGAGCATGCATTAAACACTGCTATTGCTCGTCATCTTTTGGATACTGGTCATATTGTAGACAACCTGAAGTCGTTCAAAATAATCAACAAGCAAAAGAAACCTAGTTGGCTACGCTTTGCTGAAGCAATTGCCATCAAACGACTTAAACTAAATCTATGTACGCAGAAAGAGACAGTGGTGAATCTTGCACTGCCCTGGAGATGACAGAAAATATACAACTTTCATGAGTCACCTTTTTCATGTTTAGAAAACTCTACTCTTTCATCTAAACATGACTCACCCTACCTTGTTTCTTTTCTTTCGTTTTTTCTATTGGCTATTAGATAAAATGTTTTCTTTAGTTACGTAATCTACTTTTTTGTTATGGTCTTTCTAGCTAAACCTTGTTTCTATACACGCACATATACACAACCTGTTTTTTGTTTCCAAGCCTAATAGTCTAATTATTCTATAAATAGTCAGTGTTGTAACTCTTAATCAGTTAAATCATTCCGGAATAATGTTACTTTTAATTCCTACTTAATTACTCTCTATGATCGTGGAAAAGTATGTTCATATCTTTAATGTAATTCATATTTTTTAACGTTCAGGGTGTAACCAGTTGAGAAGAATCCTCGATTAAATAATAAAAGATGAGCTCATATTATCCTGGTACAATTGTTGTTCTTGCTTTGTTCAAGACTATTGAGTACTTGAGTGCTACTTCGTCCCTACTTACAACTTCTCATCAGTACTCATGAATGACCTCACCAGAGATCGAATCCAGGACCTACAGGCTACAAGCCAACTTCACTGACCTTCTGGCTAGTGACACAAAATCGAACGGCTGGTCAATTCTAGCTTCTGCCAATTGGCGATATTGTATAGGGTGACAGGCAGCCACTGTCATTGGCGAGTATCTAACCAACTTCAATAAGTAAGACATTAGAAACCGTGGAGTGCTGTAAAGCTGTCTTTTATTTATTTGAGGCTGTTTAACGGTACAAAAAAGGACACAAAGCTGTCCAGCATTCCCTTGTTTTCAGTGCTCCTCTATATAAAGTGAATTCCTTATCAAATATGAAATCAATCATACCCTTTCAAATCAACCTTTGGAAATTATCTTATCTGTCGTATAAATTCTACTTCCTATCCAATTAAGTAGTATTTTTCAAACAGTCTAATTAATTAATTAATTTACTTATTGATGAAAAGAAAAGGATGTTTACAGACAATAGCAAATAAATATTGATAAACTATGAGCAACAATAGTCACATAAGAAAATTAATCTATTTCTTTATTTCACGCTGACAGGTTGTTAAGCTACCCGTATTTTGTCCGTATACTGAATGTGACGATAACTAAATATTCAATGATATTGTTATCTTTATTATCACTATAGTTTTTTTCGATAGTATCATAAGGTGTAGGAGACCAACCATAAGCACACTTACAATAATGTCAAATCTTTAGATTTACCTATCAGTCTATTTTAACGATGGTAGTTGAACGAGAATTGGTGTTACTGAACTGAAATTACAGTAGTAAGCAGATAAATTAAGGTTAAATAATGTGCATAAGGCATACTGTTCACAACCATCATAAACACACGTGGTGCCTCAGTATCTCTTTGTAAAAAACCTATGAAACCGTTGTATACCTAAGAAAGCCTGTTACCATTAAATACATACATATGTGACTGGAATTTGTCTAAAATAGGTTATTATGATAGTTATGAACTACTTTCATGCTAAGTATTTGTAGAATTCATAGTGTACAATTAGTGGCAAGATTAGACATCTTTATTTCATTTATGAAGGTAGGCCTTAAATAATCCTTATCTGCTGTCCTGATAAACGATATTTTTAGTCTGAAAACTCAAGACTATCTCTGACTGGACACTAATTAGTAGCTAGTATCATGAGTCTAGTCCTTTGTTTGATGCAGACTGAAGTCTATCAGTCAGGTTTGCAATGTAGCCACTGTGCTAGTTGGCTAGACATCAAGGTGTCCTCTAAATTGTTGTTATTAGATGGTTGGAGGCTATCGGAAGGAAGCTAAGACTATTTCAGATAGTCTGATCATCACTTGACAGAATACTCCTCATTATGTTCAGAGTTGACAGGAAAGTACTTAGCTGGTCATTTAGCTTGACTTTAAACGGTCAGTAAATTTTATTCATTCATATGACATCTTAGCATTCATTACTCATGATGATTGCGGCGATAGAAGCTGGGTCACATAGACCAACTATTAAAGCTTCAGACTACTGATTCTGAGGTCTCTGGTCTAAATCGTTTACTTCACTTTTAATCATCCTTCATTACATTTGTACTGGTCTTCCGACCAAAGACTATCTCTTTTTTTTCATATGGCCACACTGTTATAAGAAAATTAAGAGACAAAGTGAGATTTTGGTCAGTTTTAGTTTAATTGATTCACTTGTGTTTTTATTTTTCTGTCATCCGAGTAAACCATTCTCTGAGGCACTGAAAATGATGATAGATGTTTCAGAATTAGTAAGAAAAGTTACAGTCTCAATAGAAATATCAGTTAACTGTGGTACTGAAGATACTAACAATATAGCTGCTATGCTATGCATCAGCTTTCACTACGTTTCAATATTTCTTTGTAGTTCTGAAATTCACCATACTCTTCTATTGTTAAGTAAAGGTAAACTAATTTGAAGATATTTCATAAGCAAGGCATAGGCTTTTAGAATAGCTTGATTAAATGGGATTACGAACATACTACTGAATATCAAGCACTCAAATCTAAAGGATTTTTAGGGATTTGAAAACTAATATTTCACAAATATGAATAACTGTTTTGCTCTGGACAGTATATCTACACATAGTAAAGAGCTCTCAACTCGTCTTGCCTTTTCTGCCGGATTTTCAAATCAAACAGTAACTAACAATATACTGTAACTGCCCCAACACTCGCCAACGTGAAGTAAGACTCAATCCCCAATGACCTTTTTCCTTCATTTTGAGCATGAATGGAAATCAGAACTACACAGGAGCATATATTTCCATGTAGAAGAGTCGACGCATGTCGTTAGATGGAATTTCATGTAGCACAGCAATTTAAACAGGTCGCCGTTCAACTTCATTTCCAAATAAAGTTTATGGTAGAAACTTATGTTTCATATAATTTACAGTGATCAGAGATAAGAAATGCTATCCTCAGGATTCATTACCGATGTCAAATAACGAAGTGAAAAATTATTTTTCTCCAGTAAAATCTTAGAGTGGAGAATTGAGAATTTTCAAAATTATCCATTTCATTCTTTCCGTTCTTTTCTATCTCTTCACATGTATTACTTTGAAGTTGGATAACTGTGGAGGTGGATTAGCCATACTCTGAGAAAATCATCAATTGACACACCAGACAGGCCCTCAAATGAGATCTGAATGGGAAGTGGCGAGTTGGTTGTCCAGGGTGACATGGAGTTGGTCATGTGAAGAGGAAATGAGAGCATTTGGGCAGACGTGGAGCCAGGTGAAAATTCTGGCAGAGAAGCAAACGCAGTGGAGACGTGAGGCTGAAGCCTTATGTTCCTCTGGGAACTATAGGAAGCAATAATAATATAATAATATTACTTTGAAACTGTTTGTGTCTAAACACCACCCTTAATACTTTGGAAAATAAACAGTAACGTTTTCTAGTTACCTTTTGTTGGATTTTCACCTAACCTCTCTATGCTGACCCATCGTCAGTTTAGTCTCAAGTTTTTGATGATAAATGACTTAAAATAATATGAAGAATACATAGACAGAATGAAAACTGTTTAAACATTGAATACCTTTATCATATGAGACAGATCACCGGCATCTGCAAGTTCTAAGACAATAATCAACTCATTATTCTCCACAAATGATGCCAAATAACGTATAACATTTGGATGATCTAATTTCTAATTTATTAAAATAAAATAAAATGAAGAATAATAAGTAAAATTATATTTAAGAATAATATATAGGTTCAAATGAACTCTTCCTTTCAAGTTATGTGGTGAAATGACATCAGAAAGAAGCCAATCAAAACCGAAGAGTATTGGATTGCTGTTCCAGCCAAGTTTAAGACTATTTGGGAGTGAAGCTTTAAAATCTAAAGATCTTGGGTCCAATCCACAGTGGGATCATGGCTGCGCGCTGATGATGAGTTCCAAATTAAGATGAAACAGCTGTTCAATACTCCCAGCTGGTTTTTCAGTGATTCTCTAACTAATGTCAGCTCATGATGAAATCCTGAAACCAATCAAATTCTGCAACTCAACATTTAAATATTATAAAATAATTATGACTAAACGAAATTTAACGGCTGATATAGGCTAATTTCATACATATTAGTATAATCCCTTCGGTGTGTTTCAATGAGTCGTTTCTACTCATTCTTTAATGATTTGAAGCCACTAATCATTACCAACTGTAAAAGGAGGAGAAACATACCGCTTTTTCGATTCACGTTTTTTGAGATAAAACAGATCTTATATGGTTCAGAGAAATGGCACGTCACCGAAAGCACTTTGAACAGGCTGCAAAAACTTTCAGGAACAGCTCTACCTTCGCTCTATACCGAATATCAGATGGCTAGAAAAGATTAGCAGCAAAGGACTCTAACAAAAAAAAACCCAGTCACTAACTTATCGCTCCAAAAATGTGCAGAATGAAAAATTGAGGAGGGGCGAGGATGTAACCTATTACAAGTCAAACTTGCTGGGCTTTCGTTTTAGCCCCCGTGAACAGGTAGAACGTAGGCGGTAAATTACAACTTGAATTTTATCCAGGTAGTTGATTGTTTATTAAGGGCCTCCAGTAAAGCTGTAATCATATCAGATGTTACGTCTGGCTGTTTTAAAGGTGTTTTATAAACTCTGTTACTCAACTGGATTATCTGTTGTGATTTTAATTATACAGTGCGCGAAAATACAACATGACAGTTTTTATCCCCCTCGCTGAAGAGATCACTAGGTGATAACATACATTAGACTCTCGATTGGAAACTAAATGGGAAATAATAATAATAATAAGCTTTCTTCCAAAACAGTATTTGCGAATACAGAATGGAATCCTCAGCATTTTACTACAGTATTGCATCCAGTTAGTACATTATCCATAAAGAAAATTCTACATAGATTAAGAGTAGTCTCAGTTCATTATGACAACAACTTATTAGCATGTCTGTAGCAAAGTCAAAAATGAACAGTGTTTTAAGGTGTTGGAAAAGTAGATGCTTGCACATTTACTGGCGTAAGCGGAAGAAACAAAGCTGCACATAACAGAGAAAAAAAGAGAAAGAAAAGGAAAAAGGAAGAAAGAAAACGTTGTACCTATAAATGATATGAGTTGGAAAGATGAGATCCGGTTGTTCTACTGACTATTCAATAAGTTGTAGGTATCACGCCTAATACTTTATTTATCGCACAGAACACGAGCTAAGCAAGGTATGGTTGAGTTTTTGTACTTACTAGTGCGAGCATTTAGTTTTCTATATAGGCTTCTGGTTTTGCCTGAAGAATTACAAGGGGAGAGTTGTGAATGAAGAGGGTATGTGAGTTAGATAAAATGGATTTAGCTCATTTTTCACATGAGTCCATGTGCCTGTCCACCAGAATGTTAACAAGCTCATTAAGTGGCACGTTGCTTACCCTGCTGACAACCTTTAACATCTTGCGTAATAAGGTATAGTCTTTCTTCAGTAGCCCAGGAAAAACTAAGGGGGAACAATAGAGATTAATAGGCAAGGGAGGCCAGGGAGAAGAAGATAAAGGCTCATAGAAAATCATGGAGCCAGCTAAAAATGACTGTGGGAAGGGAATGAAATGGAGATTTTCTACCATGAGCCTGTATTCTACTCGGAACCTGAACGAATACTAATAATCATGATTAGCATTGACATATGAGTGATGGCCTAGTTAAGGTAGGCCTAGATAAACACATTTTTACAACCTTATTCACTAGAATCGAGTAACATCTTCAAAAGTCTGATGGATATTCAATTTTACAACACATTAGACTCTCTCTCTCTTCCTGTGTCTCGGAAAAGTGAATATCTTAGCCTATAAAAATATTAAATTACAGATAATTTCACGGATAGAATTTAAGTCAAGCAAGCATTGACAGAATTTAGTCGAAATTTTATGCACAAATCTGCATAATATATTAGTCTTAATTGTCTAGGTGAATTAAATGCACAAATTAAAAGGACAACAACAACAACAAACAAATAAGCAAATAGCAATGAGACCCGATGATTTTCAAATGTCCCTCAGATCACAACTAGTATCACAACACATTCCCCCAACAAATGAACAGAATATTAATTAAGCAATCATTCAGGTTATTAAAATGTAGAACTAATTTCCATTATGTAACAAACAGATCAGTATTTTTACTTTTGCAATAAATAATTTTATTCAACCTGCTAGGCGATATGACTATTACACATACTACTCAGATGAGTGGTGAAAAACTGTCCATTTGTATAGTATTGCTCGGTGATTGCTTCAGAGGTATTTTCTCTTTACTCAACTGAAATGATCGTAATCGTGCTGTATTTATTCCATATCAACTGTTTTATTTATAACAGTGGTCAATTGAAAATACTGTCTACTCTCAGAGATATTCTTCTATTGCTTAAATGCTTCATCGGTTATGTCACATTAAGTTACCCTTCAAATTTGAACAAAGCAGTTAGAACACATGAAACGAGCACGATAAAACGTATTAATTTAATTCGGTCTGTATCTTGTCGACTGCTGACAACCTGAATAATGAGAATTAATTGTCGGCTTACAGATTCAACATACCTTAGTTTACTGAAGATGAGATGTTGAACGATAAATAATTAAGAATGATCACTGTATAAAGATGAATAAGAATGTTAAGATAGCAAAATCTACAATTGCTTCTGTTCTTACATGTGTAATGTCATGAAACTTTCTCGAATAAAATAGAAGCAGTGCGGGGGGGGGCGGGAGTAAAGGCAGCTACAAGGCATGGAGGTTGATAAATTATGAGATTAAGTGAATCGTTAGAAAAATATAAGCGATAAATAAATGGGATATATGAAGAAATATATAGTGCGTTAATCTCATTTCGATATCAGATATCCGAAAGAACCTACAGTAAGTCTTCCCTGCTTTAATAGTTCGTCTCTGAACACTGACTGATTGTATCATTATTTATTAAATTAAAGTGGTGAGTTCTTTTCACTCTTACTAGGTATATTATCGTTCATTAGTTGTCATACTTCATAATTTTAGATATCTAACCGAATGGACCATTTTATTTTGCTTTCCCAGTGGGACATAGGCTTCACGCTCCAGCTTTGAGGCGTCAGTAGCAGCGGTGTTTAGATTTTATGGAATGTGAAACCTTCAGATTGTTGAATTAGACAGAATAAAGTATTGAAATTTAGACTATTTTAAGTCGAAATGTTCAAAACCTCAGTGTCTATCGTTCACACTGAATATAGTTTTAAGTAAATATGAATGTCTAAATTTGGCGAGTGAGAGATAGATTAGAGGTAAGCTGAAGAGACTACTGACTGACACCACACGCCAGACTCTCGAGTGGAACCTAAATGGGAAATGACAAGTCAGGCGTCCTATGGTTACATAGAGGAGGTCGTATGAAGAGGGAATGAAGACTTATGGACAACCACAAGTCAGCTGAAATGTATTCCAAAGAACAAGATGAAGCTCTACGTTCCACTCAAAATCCAAATATAATAATAAGTCATCATTATTCAGACACTAGGTCTTGGATAATTAAGACAGTGAATAACATAGTCCCTCTTAAATAGGTATGTATGCTAATAAACTTCAACAGTGACTTTCAAAGCTTGTTTTTAATTAGAGAATCGACTGCATTTATTAATTTATTACCAGTTAGCTACAAGTCTGTCCGTTAGACTCTGGATAGTCTTGCACTGGATCACTTCTAGATTATAATTTAAGCACAGCGTCTCAACTTTGCTTTTGTACACTCCAGACTTATGGTGTTTCATACAAAATGTCTACCCAGTCAGTCACCTTCGTTAAAACAAGAGGAAATCAAGATTTTCAGTACAAACTGTAGTCATTTTATGTCAGCCTCATACAGTCTGAAATATTAATAGGATCAATGAAATAAGAATCTATATTATTTTCTACTACAGGAAAGCTAGGCATGAGGGTAGCAATTCAACGGAAATGAGAAGAAATACAGTGTGACATGCTTAGAAGAAGATCTGAGAAGCTTTAGTAAATGACTTACACTAAAACACGAATCCCTTATCTCTGGGTAATTAGTCTTTTGTTGTAAATCATTTACCAAACCGTCTAAAATCTTTATTCTGAACATCTGAATTGTTTCTTCCTTTGATTATTATTATTATTATTGTATCCTTTAGTTCCTAGAGGAACATAGGGCTTCAGCTGCGCACCTCCATTGCCTTCGGTTTTCTGACAACTTTTTCACCCTGCACCAGGTCTGTCCACATGCTTTCATCTCCTCCTCGCATGATCTCCTCCAGGTCACCCTTGGACGACCAACTCGCCGCCTCCCTTTCGGGTTCCATTCGAGGGCTTGTCTAGTGATGTCACTTGATGGTTTCCTCAGCGTATGGCCAATCCATCTCCATTTCTTTCTGCCTATTTGTTTCACAATCGGTTCTTGATTGGTTCGCTCCCAGAGATCCCTGTTGCTGATCTTTTCTGGCCATCTGATCTTGAGTATTGAGCGGAGACAGCTGTTGTTGCTGTTGATGTTGGCTAGGAATCTTCATCATCTCTGTTTTTTCTATGTTCACGTGAAGTCCTATCTTTGATGCTTCTTCTTTTGATACCTATTATATATTTTGTAGGACACTTGTATATTCTTAATTTATGTAGTGTAAAGCTTAACTGAAACAGTACAGTGAACATTCCATCATTAGCAAAAATAAATGAAAGCTGACTTTGTAAGAATAGTGAAATTTCACTTTACTTATCTACAGACTACATGATATAATTAACCAGTGGGAAACTCCATAATGGGTATTATGCTGTTTGATGGATTTGCTTTAAGTGAACAAAAAAGAAGTCACGCAGATAAGAAACTAACAACAGCCAACCACAATCACTATCAACGGAAGAAATTAGAAAAAGGTCAATTCTTTACTGCTTATATTGTCTCCTTTAGTTCCTAGAGGAACATAGAGCTTCAACGGCATGTCTGCATTGCGTTCGGTTCTATCTCAGTTACCGTTTCAACCACAGGCACAATCGGGAAGGCAAGGTGCACATTCAACACTCTGAAATCAGTTTGGAAATCTTCTGCAATTAGCATAAAGAACTAAATTCGGATTTTCAACATCAATGTTAAATCAGTTCATCCATATGGGTCAGATACTTGGAGTATCACCGAAAGCATTTTCATCAGGCTTCAGACTTATCAGTACCTGCATTTGCTCCATATTGCAAATCAAATGACCAGAGACAATGAGCAACAAAGAACTCCAGTAACAAACCAACCAATAATCTATCACTCTGCAAATACTCCGAAGAAAATAGGACACATCCTATGGAGACCCCCGAGTTACATCACGTACCAGGCTCTAGAGTGGTATCTTAACGGAAGACGATGAGTTGGAAGTTCCCACGTGACATAGTGGAGATCGTGTGAGGAGGAGATGAAGGACTACGGGCACTCGCAGGGCCAGCTGAAAGAGGATTGAATAGAACAGGACAAGATAAAGATTTGCTGTTTAAGCCTTCTTTCTACTCAGAACCGAAGAAAATATTGATAATAATATGTAACACCCGATGGTGACTAGCAGTTTAACCCAGTATTTTCATTTCGTCCTGATTAGGAATCATCCTCTGCATCACCTTTGAGTAATGATCCATGCACTGAGACTGAAACCACCCATCAGCACCTACTGTTTCAAACGTTGTCACTCACTGGAAATGCTAGTACATTCAGCTGATGACTACCAAATAGGATGGTATACACATCCCAGACTTTCCTGTTGGTCACCATCAACTAAAGTGATATCAAGTTAACTACCAGACATCAGTGGAGAATGTATACTAGGCGTCGACATGTCAACAAAGGTTGAGCATCAGTCAATAGGGAAATATAAATTAGTTTGAAGGAATAAGGAGAAATGTTTCCTAGTAAGAAATGCAAATGAATTCTACAAAAATATTATTCTTAGGGAACTTGATAAACTCATGTACTTATTCGCACACACACACATGCATTTGCTTACCTTCAATAGATCTATCTCCTGTACACAATCTTTACGTGCTTTTGCATCAACCATTTCAAATATCTATCAAAACAAAGAAAGGAGAAAATAAATAGTTCAACACACTGGATACAAGAATTAAACATAAATTACATATCGATGAATATACACATAGGTATATTGTTTAAATTGTGCACATTTTTAAATCTTCAACTCATTACATGCAAACTACTTATTTAAATGCAGTGAAATAATCTACAAATACAAGTATACACTACATAAATACCTTTATATTTTTATACCATTCACGCATAAATGTACATAGCTTATGTTACATTGTATTGCATAGTTAGCAGTCTAAACTACAGTAACAAGAAGTTTAGTAGGACAGGAAACAAACTGTTACTTAGTTACGGATTACATTTTCCGTTGTGTTTTTTGATTTTTCAAAAAAAGAAAGAAAGAAAGTTTATTTGAACACAGATTAAAGTTTTTTTCTGTTATGATGAAATTATATATAGTAAGACACACACAAAAAAAACTTCACCACAAAAGTGAAATACTGACCGAAGTGAAATTATGCAGACATGATTGTAATTTCTTTAAGAAAGTCATGCAAGCGGGTTAACAGTAATACTAGAAGCATCAGTTAAATATGAAGTGAACGATGATGTGGTTTAAGGGTTAAAGCAAGTGTTTTGTGAAAGCTTTCTATCCGCTTAAAGTGAATGCCTACTTCGTACCTACTTTACGAACTTTTGGTCTCACGTTTTCTGTTCTTAATTTCCCTTAAGGGATGTAGAGTACTCATAGACTTTATTTCGATAAAAACAGAATTAGTTGTAAGACGACATAACGATGTTGGACATATTTGCCCACTGGAAGTCTAATTCTAATACATTTCTGTGTATATGATATAGTTTAAGGGTAATTTCATTGATTTATAATACCATCAGCTTTCTGTAGATATTTATTCCTACTATCAGCATATGCAGTTTATAAAACTCAAATTATTTCCACTAGTGATGTATATGTAAGTAGCTGTTTAGAGCTAAATCCACTGCAAAAGTTAAATTATCTGTGATTTTCCATAATCTTTAGTGGTTGTGATGACTACTAAAACTCTTCGCGGCGAACTGTAACTGAAGCCACTACAGCACAGAAAAGGCTTGTAGTGGTAAATAATTTCTCAAGATTATTAGTTTACAACATTCTCCATTGAAAATTGGATGTTGACCTTCATTGTTTAAGTGATGAGTTAAATTAAAGGCGAGAGGTGAAAGATATACACCGTTATGCACGCTATTTTGTTACGTCCGGTTGTTTGCCAACAACTGCTAGATAGTTACGCAATCACTACCACTCTTTATCTCTGATATGTTTCTGATCTAGTCAAAACAAATACTTTGGGAGTTGCAGAATACAAGCTTGCGTTCGTATACAGCGTATCTGGCGTAACCTCCGGCATCCTTCATTTTCGAAAACCTCCTTAGGATTACAACAAACTGAGATAAATTGGTAGAACAATTAAGAAAGCATGTATATTCCAGTGGATTTTATTTTATTCCCTCAAATCCATTATTAAACTAATCGCACAACTGATTATTATCATTTGTAGATCAAATTATGGCAGTGATTTTTTACAAAATATGGGCATACTAAATTTATTATAAAGCTTTCTCTAGTCTTGAAGATTAACAATTATGCACTTTTACAATACTTCCTGTCTTACTAGTTCAGAGGTAGAATTTTGGCTAACAAAGTAGGTGATTCGGGTGAGATTTCTGGGCCTATGGACACCCAAACTTTTGCCTAGCTGGTAATCAGCCAGCGGGCCACTATAACTTTTAAGCTTAAAGCTGTATGTTTCACTCGGAAAGTACTGGGATGCATCATGAATCCTACTGGTATGATTATTTCAGATGATTCTGTCTGTAAACTAAAATATTCCTTACCTTCTTGTGATTGGGATTTCTCTTATGTTAATTAAATGGCTTTCGTAAATCTGTATTTTCAGACTACATTTCATGATAAACATTTACGAATTCTAAAGATACTAGTACATTTGACAGTGCGAATAATGTCGAATGCGAATGGAGATGAAACTGTAGAGTGTTGTACTAGTTTGCCTTAAAATAGGAAGAAAATAATCACGTATGAGTGTCAGGGTTTCTGTGATTAGAACGACAGTCATTTCAGGAATATGAAGATTTACTGCTTGTCACAGGTGTAACTACGAATACATAGGCTGGAAAAGAGCTCTAAAACGGAACAAAGAAGGACCTGGTGTATAGTTGTAAAATCGAAGTTTGTCTTCATTTAGTGAAACAAAAAGAATTAGAAAGATACTGAAATAAACAAAAGACACACCATAATACATCAGATCAAACAAAAGTTAGTAAATACACTCTCACTTTTGGAGTTCCATTAATTTACATCGGCAAGAAATATTTTGAAGCATGTCGTCCACAGTCGTTAGTCACTAATTTTAAACATTTCGGAACCATGATAGCCTACACCTCCACGCATAGTTCATGTCACTCACAGAAATAGTTTAAATGTCCATAAAGATTACTAACATGACAACTTTCATCTTATGTTCTAGCCTAATTCAACTTCAGGTGATGTTGACTGTCGAGAAAACAGATGTTTCAGAATATACAGTGTATCGATCAGACGTCTAAATCAGTTATTTTTTATGAATTCATTGACAGCTTCCTTGCTTGTTCATCTCCACTAGTTCAAAAACGATGTTAATTAACCTGTGGTTTTATTACGTTTGAGCAATACTACAAAGACAGACTAAGGTTAAAAAATTAAAACCTCATGTTCTCACGTTTACCATTGTCATTCCAGAAGCGTCATTTGGAAAATTAGACTCTAATGTGGTTCACTTATCGTCTAATAATTAAGTTAAGCTGACGTGATCAGGACTTTAAGCTATTAGTAACTATTGTGATTGTCTTAGGTAACCCTTAACCGGGCAAAATGGCTCACGCACTCTATTTATTCCACATTCTCAGACTGTCTGTTGAAACTAGACATGACAATCAGACAGTAGTTCCCGAAATTCTTCTGCGTGATTTTTAAAATGGCCCAAAACCCTCTATTATTTTTCTCTAAATTAAAGATAAACTTCCAGGCAATAACTTGGGTAGGAAATTTCTCTGAACAAGGTATTGCTTTACAAGAAAAAGATAATAATTGTTTCAGCTTCTCACTAACGCAATCCTTGCATAAAGAAGGACCTTAAAATTTCCTTTTGTGTAATACATTTTGTTTTACCCAGGAATTTGTACGTCTAAATTTAATTTTCAGTGTGAAATTTTGCACGGAAGCGGAGCAGTTCAAGTTTCCACATTTCATTTAGCACACATATAGGAAGGAAAACAGGAAAAAGAAATTCAAAGGAATTATAATTAGCAGACGTGTGCAAGAAACAGAATAATTAGGGTCATATAGATCTGGGAGTTCATAGGGAGTAAATGCATCTGTGAACAATCATGAGCCATGTCGCTCAGAGTTGCCAGATACCGTTTTTTGGTGTCTTAAGGACACCATCTAGGTAATTTGCACCTTCTTACGTGGCTGAAACCAAAAGTCAAAGATACCATAGATTAGTGTCATTATCATCCCACCTGTTTATCAGCCTAGTCCTGTGCCAGTTAACATTACTTATCAACGACCTCAATGACTTGGCAAGCGCAACACGTGTCCAAGTCTTCTGAATCGATCTAGGTACCCAGTTTTGTCAACTAACCTCCCCTCCTTCGACAAAAACATATCTTATCACTTAACATGGGAGATATAATGCAAATATCTACCGTCGAAGACAGTTAACCTGTTCATAATTTGCACTTACAACAGCAATGTCTCATATCCCTAATGAGAGATTGGGGCAAGTGGCGGGTGGCTGAGTCATTTTTTGACTGGTATCACGCATGCGCCAGATATGACCAAATTTAGTAAATGCCAAACGAGCAGTTTGTGTTCATGCTGTTATTTCTCCAGCAACAATCAATTAGTACTGATGAATTTCCCTATCAAGTGAAGTGGTTATTACACTACACTACTGAACTCCATATCTTGAAACTAGGAGACAGTGCACACCACTAATGAAGCCCCGCTTCACATTCGAAATGGTTTGAATCGCATGTCAAACATTGCATCAAACTCCGTAATCCCACCAACTTACCGAAACCAAAGGTGGCTAGTAATTATCTTTACACCAAAACAAGGCATCGCCGTTATTCATATTTTACTCGAATCACAATGCAGATAAACGATTAGTTCAGATGGATGACTGCTTCTTACTTGCCTGTGAATTTGCTAAGACAATGCAACACACGATCATATATAAAAAAGTGACCTTCTTAACAAATGACTGTATCTAGTTTGTTGATAATTAGAGTTAGAAATTTATCTTTTAATAATTCTGCAGAGTATTTACGCCTTAAGAAACAATTTAAAAGAAAGTTAATGAAGATTCGAAAAAGATTTAATTTGTTAGCATGAGCTGTTTGCCACAGTTTGTGCTGCTTGGCTAAAACTAATGAGGCATCGAGAATCAATAGTTGCATGTGACAGAGAACGTGGTTCTATTAACTTTATGACAGAGAGATATAAATATGTTCCTTATCCTAACAGAAACTATGAACATTCTGTTTCACTTCCATCCTTTATTCCTCGGAATTATTAGCCTTAACGGCTGTCAAGAATATGGGAATATGAGATTACCATGAAAACCCGCAAACAATAAAAACATTTCATTATACGTACCATGCAAGTTTATGCGCATAAATTACATTTAAAGCAGTCGCAACAAGACAACAAGATTCAACAACATCTATCAAATTTTTATTAACCTTTATTTTTTTCATAGCAACTGTCTGACCAGATGGAAAATGGAATGCACGCCACACAGTTGAAAACTGACCTTGCCCAACAGACCCTTGGACTTCAAAATTAGACAAAGAAGAGTATGCGGATAATCCGTCTAACTTTACTTCACAGTGCCGTTGAGTTGGCGCACTGCGTACTCGAAATGTGCAATTTTTATACATATAGCTAACTGCCAGCAACACTACCTAAAGTCGAAAATAGTTTAAAAGTGCAATAACCCAATATAAACAATGAGACTTTAATTCCTGACTACGAAATATAGCAGTTAGACATGAAAGAACATGATCAAAATAGAAAATAAACCTGTTGCGAGACCTGGCAATAAATATTTGCTAAATAAGATTTAAGAAATAAGTTTCACGTGTGCCAAAAACTACACTAAACTAGTGCTCCTCAATAAGGAAAACTTTCACGTAAGCAAGTGCTAAGAAAAAACTAATCAAACAAAAATCTATGACATCCATTCTAAAATACTGAGTGATGATGCTTAAACTACATACCTTTATCACTTTCAAGGCTACATTTAGACCATAGGGCTGGTTGCACACTGCTCTGAAAACGCTACTAAACTGTCCAAGACCAATCTGCCTTAGAATTGTATAATTTTGCATTGAATGAAGGAACTTCAGTTGAATAGGAAGACAATGATAATGAAAACTTGTACTGCATCCTCGCATCTGATCAAAACTTTGTAAATGGGCTCGATATGCAGGGGGAAATCCAGAAAAAACTACATCTTCGTTCACAAGACACTGGTTTGCTTTTTCACTTCCACCGAATACTTTTTGCGTAGAACGTAAATCTTCTTCATTCACTGCACTACTATCAATATAGCATTCAGTTAAATGATTATCAGTGTATTGTGAACATTTATTTAGTGATTGGTAAACACTAGATTGCAATGAAACGCATCCACCTTCAGGTGGTATAACAACCTCATACTCAAATCGTGGCACAACTTCCATTTAAAAGCATACAAAGTTTTTGGAATTCACTCAAGAAGCCATATAGTTACCTATTGCTGTAATCAGCTGATATTTGTATTTGTCCTAGTAACAAGAGTAAAGTAATTGATGCAGTAAAACAAACACGTAGTTGAAGATATTGTAGAAAATGATATTTTGTCTTTTTTATAAATAGCGTTTTGTTAATTTATAATACAAACATTATTTTAGTAAGTATCTCTGCGACCTTGACCAAACACTTGTTATTGGTCTGCAAAACCATTGTCTTTTCAAGTGATTTAAGAGCAGTGATTCACAGACTTTGCTGCTGTCATGTCAGGTTTCCGAGCTGCGCAAATCGAAAGGTCAAGTTACACTGTTCCGAATGTGAGTGAAATCGCCATTCAAGCTGAGTGAGTCGTAAATAATTTTGTCACGTAGTATTTCATGTCTATTTGGTATACATGCATTCCTGTAAGATGTTTTAAGGATGCATTTTGTTTATGCAGTCGAACATTTGACTATGTTCCCCTAATTATTATCGTTATCGAATATGTGTGTATGAACTTCTTTGGCTATCTGACAAATCTACCGGATGAGAAATCTGAAAGTTCAAACGACTAATTCATGTTTACCTCACTTCGAGAAAGGCTAAACTGGTATCCACGTAGGTATAAATTTTGTATCCTAAATCAGGGGAATCTGGCGTCAACATATCAAGTTAACTTCAGAACTAACTATCGATAATTATTTGGGTTTCATTAAGTGAGTTCATGTAATGAACGATTTAAATATCATAACTTGGCGGGTGGTTAAGAAACAATTGTGCGTGATGCGTGCTATTCCTACTCCAGCTTTCATAAAGTAGTCATGTCCTGCACAAGGTAAGAATACCACCTCCTGAAGTGGTTTTAAAGTGTTTTATACAAACAATGTCGTGTGCAAGTTTGATGGTAATGAATAAGTACGCGTTTGTAGATGCGTGCAAGTGAATGATTTAACTTCTCTTAATGACTACACGCTGGTAATTGCTAGATTACTGGTAAGCGTTTTATTAGCACATTTCAAATTTGGGCTTCAAAGTCTGGTAGCTGCTCAAAGTTGTCAGGAAAAGCTCCTCAAAACGCCAGCAATACTATACATAAGGTATTTTACCTTAAAAATGCTCTAGTAAATAAGAGTAGTTGACATTCAAGATAGCAGCAAAATGGTCAAGACAAAGGAGAAGGACCCACCCACTTCTTAGTCTTTGCCAGTGAATCATCAGACTTCAAAGCTGAAATATCTCTGTTCTACGACGTTAGGATAAACAGTAGTTACACAACATAGTTAATGATCATGAGCCCGGCGTAAAATACTCAACTATCGAAAGGAATTATTATGTTGCAGGGACAGACATGTCTTACTAGTATCTTTATTTCAGTTTGTTCACTAAGGTTTCTGCTGTGAATCACATGGCATGTGTCATCTTCATATAGCTGATGACTGATGCTTGTAAAGGCTTGGGGCACTGTATAGATTTGAACTACCTACCAAATTATTTCACATTCAACGCTACTTTAGTTTTTTCCCAGTCAATACAGTTGGCGTGCATAGTTGATGGCCATTCTAGGCCTTGTTCAACAACGTTACCAAGTGTTACAATCGGGTTCACGTGTGACTTTCTTACATTATTTGGTTTGACGATTTAATTCCTTATGCTTCATGAATCCCACTCCAGTTTCGCAGTGGATCTTATGTAGGTCTTAAAATGAAGGGAAACAAATCCATTCATTATCGAATTAGTGTATAATATAGACAAAAGCTTTGGATGTTTATCAGGCATGTTATGATATGGTTTTGAATGAACCACTTTTATTAAATTGATTAATTACTGCTTAAAAAATTGCTCTTACTGGTCAGTAGCGTGATGAATACTGCTGTACAATTTGAACTTATGGGCTTTTGATTTAGATCCCTTTGGGGAAGTGGGCTTCGGGATTCATATATACATATATATATATATGTATATATCAGCTTGTGGATAACAGGATAAACACCTGGCTGAACCAAAAATGTTCTGTATTGTTTCAGTAGATCTCTCAAGAAAGACAAAGCATTTCGTTTCAACATAATCAACTAACAGGAAGTGGAAAGTAACCTAAGAACAAATGATAAATGATGCTCGGTTCACAGGAAGTACCTCTCACGGCTTGTTGTCTTAGTTTATGTGACTCTGCCGTTTCAGACGACAGATGCAGGGTTTGAGAGGCAAAGTTAAACTTCAGGCACCACCAACCATCAACCAGCGGATGACCGTTAACGCACCACTCACGTAAAGGAGGCATTTTTGTGTATGGAATACATATATTTCTGAAAAAGATGAGTAAAAACTGTATAGAAGTGTTGCAAAGGGTACATTCCACTCACATTTGATACAAATTGCCCTCAGTTTTAGATTGGAGTATCGACACAGCATAATCCTATTGTAAAATTTATTTTGATAAAGTCTCGCGGTGTTATATCATAATATTTCTGTGTAATAAACTGTGATCGACACTTCAACAGTAAGTGTTGTGGGAATTTGTTGAAATAAGTTTTACCAACAATGGAATTATACTCTACCACAGTGCATAGGTTCTATTTTTATATCAACAGTTATTTAACCAAATTCTATGTATGTAATTATTTAGGCCTTCTAACCCTAACAATAACTCTAATCTTTCTTGAACCTAGTTCTAACATCGGAATATGCCCAAAATAACCCTAATCTAACTTGAACTAACGCTAATGTCGCCTTTATTCCGTTAACCTAACCCTAACTTGTTCTTGGCCTTAACCTTGACTTAATCCTTCCTCAACCTAGGGTGAAACTTTCTAGAATTCCCATCAAGTGGCATAACACTTCGATGGGGATGTCTTATTGATGATTACAGCATTACTTGTCAGGTTTCAAAAACTTGCTCAGTGAGCGTTTCAAGGTCATTGATGAGCTCGCACTCCATTGGTAGTTAGTGGTGCTTAAAGTTTAACTTTGCCACTCTTAACCAGTAGGAGTAATTTCTGTATAAATGATAGTCGGTGTGAATTATACAGACAGTGACAGTTCTTGGGATAATAAAAATGTATTAGTATTCATAGTTTTATCAGTCAAAATGAAAATAAGAGTAGCTAATGGTTGCGGCAACAGCTTGTTAGTGCAGACATTGTACTCTTCAAATTTGATTTCCTACCTATTCACGCAGAATCACAGTAAGACAGTAGGATTCATTTCAATGATCTGAAAGAAAACAAATTAGAACGTTTGCACGAGTTTGATCATGGATTGATATCAGTCAGAGAACCATTAAAACCACCGGGGAGTACTGGACAGCTGTTTTGTCCTATTTCTTCTGGACAACATCGTCAGTACTCACCCGCCAACGGGGTTCGAACCTAGGACCTATAGGTTACAAGGCTAGCTCACTTACCATTCAGCCACTGGGACTCGATTCAATGGTCAACCCTTGAATTCTAACTTCTATCAATTCGTGATTTAGCGCGACTGGCACCAACCAATTTCATCGGTGGGAAATCCATCCTCACACTTGACTGGATGGAGATTCACTGGTCATGACTTTTCACGGGAACTCCGGGAAACTCGGTCCCGTAGCAAGTCACTAGTGAGCATAAGATTAATTTTCAGGAGTTGGTTTGTGAAGATTAGATTTTTTCACAGGATAGAGTTTCCTGGAGTTCCAGAGAAAAGTCATGACCAGTGAATCTCCATCCAGTCAAGTGTGAGGATGGATTTCTCACCGATGAAATTGGTTGGTGCCAGTCGCGCTAAATCACGAATGATAGAAGTTAGAATTCAAGGGTTGACCATTGAATCGAGTCCCAGTGGCTGAATGGTAAGTGAGCTAGCCTTGTAACCTATAGGTCCTAGGTTCGAACCCCGTTGGCGGGTGAGTACTGACGATGTTGTCCAGAAGAAATAGGACAAAACAGCTGTCCAGTACTCCCCGGTGGTTTTAATGGTTCTCTGACTGATATCAATCCATGATCGAACTCGTAAAAACAAATCTAATCCTTACAAACCAACTCTTGAAAATTAGAATGTATCGATAGTACTCTCAATGGAATGAATCAAGTCAATTATTTTCTCAGCTGAAAAATGGAGAAACGTATGCAATGAATTGAGGTCAGTCATCGTTAATGGGTTTCATTCTCTCGTGAAATTCTGATTGTTTGATGAAGTAGCTACTCAATCTTTATTTGAAGATTTGCAAAAAGGTGACTTAAAGAACTCTCCAGGCTTCCAATTGTCACTCCATAGTAGACTTAATAAACGCATTCATATTTTCTAAAAATGTCTCAAACCTTCTTAATTGCTTTTTCCTGTCATATATCTATTACTGACGTTTCCATTTTTGATTATCCATCACTTAGTCCACTAGAAGTACACAGCTTTTGATTTTATAAGATTCTAATTTAATTCGAAGACTTGAATGTCAACAGTGTCATAATGTTTCTATGACCAGTATCGATCACTTGCATCAGATGGATTTAATATGGTAAAGCTGAACTGTATTATTCGCACCAAATGTATACTAGTTTATTATGGGGTGATTACTGTGGTCTTCAGTGAAATACTGGAATGTATTTTCTTTTCAAGCTTCCATCCTATAGGGAGATGACTATTTTCAAGTTCGATCACTAATTAAGAGACACACTGCAAATCACCACTGAGTACTGAATAGCTGTCTTCTCCTACTATGGGATTCCGTCTCAGTGGTTGAAGAATGGTCAACGAGACAGTCTAGCAATCTGTATGTCCTGGGTCTAATTGTCGATGAGATCATGGGTGCGTGCAGATAAAGAGTCTCAAACTAGGGCGAAAGGGATTTCCAGTATTCAGTAGTTATCAATGCCTGTCTAACTGAATTGAAGTCAGTTCGTGATCAAAATTAAAATAAATCCGTTCTACCATTCCCCTTCTCTACTCACAAAACAGTGAGTTTAAAATGCATTTGAGAATAAATGAACCAAAAGATTTATTAATCCTTTACACTCTGACTTAAGTTATCAAAATATAATTAATTCTCATTTTCATTCATTGACTCAAAATTATTCATTGCGTAGTTCTTGTGGTTCCTGGTTAGTTAGTAACTTAGTGGCTACCTACTCTTACTTAAAAGTTAGTGAGACAAGATGCTTGCATGTTTGTAGAAAGAACAGAAACGATATACTGCATTTCACTTATTCTACTCTAATCACAATTTGTAGAATTCTACTATAAACTATTAGAAAAGACCAATGAAATACATTATAATGGATGTTGAAGAGCCTGACTAACGCTAAGGCGAAATTACATCCTCGGTATTGTGCAGAAACAACTTTTCTGGGAAAATGCATCTGAAATACACCAAAGGTTTTCGGTGTATGAGTGACA